CTCTATCTCTGGGTCCGGAATAGGGCTCTCTCTCTGTGTCTCTGTCGCAGCCATTTTATATGTGTTTACTTGCATGCGTTCTGGCGTTTATGTCTTGCTTAATTCCTGGTTCTGACGCTTGCGTTTCGAAATAAGGGTCCGCCATGTCGGAGTTGTGCCGTGTTCTTCAGTGATGTATGGACTCATGTACGGGGGGGGACGCAGATGTTGAGTAGTAAATACTAGTGTTGCTACATTACATTTACACATAGAGAGTGTTTGGTAGGTCCCCGTTGACGCCATTGTACGGAAGCAGTGAGGCTCCCTCTCTGTCTCTCTCTCTCTCTCTCTCTCTCTCTCTCTCTCTCTCTCTCTCTCTTGCTGTGTCCACGTATTTCTCTGTATATACAATGCTTTCCAGATGTCAAGGTTCACCACGACCAGACAGAAAAGAAAGCTGGGTGGAGAGTGTCATGCAAGGATGGATGAGTTCCTTCCCCCACGCGGCAAGGACCATAAGACACCTGAAACGGATCGAAACAGGGGTCGGACTGTAGTTAGCGACCGAGAACATATAGGCAGGCTAACAGAGGAGGTGCATAAGCAGAAGGTACTGCTTAGAGAGATGTCAGACGAACTACGCCGCCTCAAGTCGCTCCTCGACGAAATGACAGAAACTGCGGAGCACAGGATGTTCACCGTGTTCTGGTTGTTGCTTGACAACATGAAAGATATAGACGTTACTTGTCTGAGGGAGGACATGTCAGCCAGAATTCAGGCAATTGCTGAAACGAAGAACACCACGTTCGACGAGTTTCAGGTATGGCTGGATATTGAAAGGGAAAGGCGCACCGCAGTCTTGAAGCGGTTCTCCGACCACGTCACGAAGACAACAAACGGGGAGTCAGACGGAGGGGATGTCATGTGTCTTGCCAGCTGCGGAAAGTGTGTACTGAAGGAGGGGTGGGCATCGTACAATAGCCAAGATTACAACACAGGTTCGCTACCTACGACGGCACGCAGCGTCGTTGACCTCTTAGCCTTCACCGAGGACTGCATTCGCCACTGTACGAAAACCGTCGAGGAGTACGGTCTGAGTGAAGTGGGTGTCGGGTCTATTAATGACGAGCTTCCTGCAAAAATCGCGTCTCTGCTGAGCAGTTGCAAAGACGTAATTGATGCCCTGCAACACACTCGAGGCAGGTTGTTGGCTGGAGAACTGACGGTGACATGTATGGAAGAAGATGTTATGGGATGTGGAGAAGGTGAAACGAAGAAGGGAAGAGAAGAAGCTGACAGACCAATCGGAGTGTGTTCGGGAAATGGGGCCACTCTTGGGAAGGATGCGCCTGCGCCACACGTCCTGTTGGCGTGCAGTGATGTTGCCGCACTGAAATCTCACCACGTGCGTCACAACTTCCCCTGCGTGCTTGCCAGCAAAGCACCTTCGGCCGGACCAGAATCTTCTGTACTGCCTACGACGACGCAAATTTTTGAAAATTTCGTTGTTGACGCAAACTCTCGACAAATAGCCAGGCTGGTCGCGGACTGTTTTTCCCATATAATTTCATATATCAAAGAGATAATAGGACTGGTGTTACTGAACGCGGACCATCATGGAGCGGAAAAAAAATATGAATATTGCAGGAAAGGACTTGACATCCATGAGGGCTTGAAAACTCTGTACAGAAGATGTCAAATTGTGGCAGCGCGGGTCGTCAGGGAAGCATGATTTTTCTCTCTCTCTCTCTCTCTCTCTCTCTATCTATCTATCTATCTATCTATCTATCTATCTGTGTGTACCTATGTCTGGTTTTCACATACTTGAGGTTGGCTAATGGGCCGCAACACTGAATGGTCCTGTGTCGGCGCATGTCTACCTGTTCGACAACACGAAGTTGTCGCCCTTGCAGGCCAATTCTGGTCTCGCATGTCACGTTCCGCGTCGTGTTGCATCGCTGACTGGTGAACGTGTCGATTGTGCGAGTGTTGTTTTCCAAGCTGCAAGAGGTTGACTACTGCGTGTCATGACTGTGTGTACCATTGGTGGTTGTTGTCCCATTGGCCCGCAGTAGCCAACCTGTCTGTCTGTCCAGTGTATGTATGCCTGTCTGCGCGAGGCTGACTACTGCGGGCCATGTAAGTGTACACCGCTGCTGGTTGTTGTCGTTCTGGCCCGCARTAGTCAACCTGTCGCTGGTGCCACATGTTTTTCTGTTTTTCCAGCTGGGTGAGGTTGACTGTTGCGTGCCATGTCAGTGTGTACCGATGCTGGTTGTTGTCCCGATGGCCCGCAGTAGCCAACCGCCCTCTAACGCAGTGTATCTCTTCCTGTATGAGCGAGATTGACTACTGCGGGCCATGTAAGTGTACAACGCTGCTGGTTGTTCTCGTTCTGGCCCGCAGTAGTCAACCTGTCACTGGTGCCACATTTTTTTCTGTTTTTCCAAGTGGGTGAGGTTGACTACTGCGTGCCATGTCAGTCTGTACCGATGCTGGTTGTTGTCCCAATGGCCCGCAGTAGCCAACTGCATCCGGAACGCAGTGTATGTTTGCCTGTATGG